CCCTTTTCTCCTGCTCTCGCTCTTCTCTTGCAACCCTCAGCTGTCGTTCCGCCTCCTGCAGTTGGTTCTGGGTAACTCGATAGTTACGATCCAGAACCTCGTGGTCGGCGACTCGTGCGGCTTCCTGTTCTTGTCGAACATTTTCGACGAGCTCAAAGAGCGATTCGAGATGTTGCTTCTGAGCGATGGCTTCTTGTCGTACTTTCTTGTCCAGAATTTGCCCACTTCCTTGGACTTGTTCCTGGAGGTTTTGTAGCTGCTGCCAAACGGCCTGTCCAGCTGTACCAAGATACCTCATTTGAGCCTCGTGGGTATCCAAAAACTCCTGCATGGACCTCGTAAACTGGGCTTGAGCAGAGCGTTTACTCGTTGACCTAGTTTGTGTAGAAGGTCCTCCCTGGAGTAGGGGATCGGGGCTAACAGCCCCAGATAGTACCATAGCGTCCTCCGCGGCCTCGTCTGTTACGGCCGAGGTGTCTACGAAATAATCCCTTCGGAATGCCATTATGGTAAGGGATAATGGTGATAGTTCTTCTTTTTTGAGGTGACTTCGTTACTCCAAGTGAACTTGTGAGTAACAATATACTGTGAGGGATGCGTACCAGACCACAAGAGTACACTACGCAGAGCTCAGAGTTCGGCTAACAGCTACAAAGGTAGAAGTCTCCAAGGTCTCTTCAGTCAACGTCGAGTATAATTCTCCTTGATCCGATACGGGCCCCGCGAGCTACGTTATCAACAAAGATTCACTAGAGTTAGCGTGTGATGTTCGACCGTCTTCGACGCAATAGTTCAGGTAGAGTTCGAAGTCACAATAGAATAAAGTATTTCCAAAAGTATAGTCAAATAAAGTTGTAACTCGCGTATCAACGATTTATATTGTTAAGACTCTGATTTCGCTGATGATGGTTTGGCTAGTCAGTGAATGACACAGTATTTATATCCCTCGCTTATGTCTCGAGGACCCAGTCTACTAATAATACAGAATACACTCGGGGCATGCCCGAGACCCTGAAAAACAACCAAGAACATTTAACTCCTAAGTCCGTAACCCAAACTCCTAAACCCGCTGGAACCCCTCAACCTATTTATCCGTTCTAATGCACGTTTCCCTGTCGATGTTTCTTCTCCATCGGCCGTCTGGTGGATAATCGTCAGCTTCGGCTATTCGGAGGTCTCGGACGGCAAGGCTACCTACTCAGGCCTCTTCCCACATCGCTTTCCCACATAGCAGAGTCCTCTCATGCCCACAGGTACCGCCGATAGGTAGTCGGTCGGCTGGCAGCTTGCGCCGATTCGCTCCGAGCGGTCCGATCTTCGATCCGATTGATTCCAGCTGTCCCTCATATATCCACCGGTACCACAACACTCCCCTCCGGCGGTTTGACGCTCCGGGGGTTATTATTGGGGTCGAAAACGTGTTTTTTATGACTCCGTGTTTTGATCGTATATTGGTCGCACCACACTCCGCGAGTGCGGTCCAGAGATGACATTAGCGTACAGAGGGTATTGGAGTATCTACTGGCCTTTTCTCTCACTTCCGTAAATACTTGACATGCCCGTAACAGCTTACCCCCCTTCCAGGGTGTCACGTCTCGGGACATCTTCTGACAGACTATGGTTCCACAAAACCTGCTCCACATATCACCCGCGGTGTCTGTGGAGGGGAAGGACTTAGCCCCGTAGGGTACCTCTATAGTCTCAGGCGTTGGTCCTTCACGGCCTTGGGGTTCCTTCGATGAAAGTCGCAGACTAAGTCACGTACCTCCTCATCCATAGCATCCAGGACTTGGTACGTGCAGTCGCTCATCGAATAGCCCCGCCATTTCACCAGGTATTCCACTAATCCTCTTCTGCTCTTCCGGCTCCCCACAATACTTTCCACTTCATACAGAACCTCTCCTTCCTTATCGACCTCTTCGGTAGTCGGGGGACGTTGTTCGCGGCCTGGGATACTGCTCTGTCGATAACGTTCCAAGAGTTCGATGTGGAATACGTTATGGATCTTAACTTGTGGTGGCAGTTCCAATTCGCAGGCTCGTTTACCGGCTAGTCGGACAATTTTAAACGGGCCGAGTTTCTTATGATCGAGTTTCTTGGTTGAGCGACGAGTCTTGATGTTGGTTGCGTTGAGCATAACCATGTCTCCCACCTTGAAGTTAGGCGGTTCGTCCCTTTTCCGATCATAGTATTTCCCCATCTTCTCCCTGGTGTCTGTTAAGCGAGCAAGAGCAGAATCATGAACTCCTCGGATGAAGTGAGCGTACAGGTCGCTGGTTGGATTGACCACTTCGGCTTCCGTCGGCCAGTTGGTTCTTGGGTTGTAACCGTAATTGGTATAGAACGGAGATTGACCCGTGGCGGTGGTAACCGAATTGTTGTAAGCATACTCCGCCAACGGGAGTAGCTCTGCCCAATCATCTTGCTCGTAGTTGCAGAATGCTCGTAAGTAGTGCTCGAGGGTTTGGTTGACCCGCTCTGTTTGCCCATCGGTCTGAGGGTGGAAAGCCGTACTCATTCTTATCCTCACGTCCAATAATTCCATAAGAGATGCCCAAAAGCTTGAAGTAAACTTGGCGTCTCTGTCGGAAACTATATCAAGAGGCAGCCCATGGAGTCGCCAGATTTGACCGAGGAATATCTTCGCTAAATCCTGCGCGGTCGTTTCTGCTACTAGGGGGATGAAGTGCGACATCTTCGAGAACCTATCGACTACTACCCAGATTTGGTTGTATCCCTTTGATTCCGGTAATTGCACAATGAAGTCCATTGATATCGATTGCCAGACAGAATGTGGCGTGGACAGTGGTAGAAGCGCGCCGTATTTCTTATGGCGGCTGGGTTTGTTGCGCTGGCACTCGTCACATGACCGAACGTAATCATCAATCCACTCGTTCATTTTTGGCCAATAGAAGTTGCGCGTAATAAGTTCCAAAGTTTTGTCTTGTCCAAAGTGTCCTGCCACCTTCGAATCGTGTTCTGCCTGTGCGATTCGGATCTTGATACGGTCGTCTGCCGGAATATAGAGTCGGTTCTTATAGAAGAGTAGCCCGTCTTTCTCAGCGATATCCTTCAATTCCCCCAACTTCTCCCCTTGCTCAACTCTCTCTTTCATTCCTACCCATGTCGGGTCTCCCGATGCCGCCTGCCTGACATGATCCAGAAAGTTCTTAGACCAGTCAATCACCCCCTTGGAGGCAAGCGACACCGTTGATACCACAAATTCTTCCTCCGCCAACTGTCCGGGCTTAAAGAACCTGTCTATCGGCTGTTTCCCAAGCGTGCCTCCCCCTTCAGGACGGTACTCCGGCCGTCGCGATAGTGCATCTGCCTTCCCATTTTTGGTTCCCGGGCGGTAAATAATCTTGAAGTCAAATTCCGCCAGAGACTCAGCCCACCTTGCCTGTCGTCGGTTAAGAACCTTGGTTGTAGAGAAGTACTCTAAGTTCTTGTGATCCGTATAAACGAGAACCGTTCGGCTAGGTCCTTCGAGGTAGTGACGCCATTGCTTGAAGGCCGACACAATTCCTAGCATCTCCTTATCCCAGACATCGTAGTTGAGGTCCGCTGGGTTAAGCTTTCGAGAATGAAAGGCGACAGGGTGAGTCTTTCCGTCAATAACCTGGGATAGAATTGCGGCGATAGCAAAATCACTTGCGTCCGTTTCCACGATAGTCTGGCGATCTGGAGAGAAGTGTACCAAGATCGGCGCAGACGTAAACAGGGTTTTGAGTTTTTCGAAGGCTGCTTGGGCCATCATAGACCAGACAAAGTTCTTAGCATCACCCCTGAGACAATCGGTAATGGGTTTACAGACCCCGGAGAAATTGTGGATAAACCTTCTGTAGAAGTTGGCAAAGCCCATGAAGATCTGTACTTCTTTAACACTGCGCGGGGCTTGCCAATTCGTAACAGACATGACCTTATCCAGTGCCATGGTGACGCCTGCTGGGGCAAGAATGTATCCAAGGAACTCGATTTCGGTGAGCTTGAAGAACGATTTCTTCGGGTTGGCGACTAGATTGTATTCTTGTAGCCTACTAAGGACTTTGCCGACCAACTCTCTGTGCTCCTCCCGAGACTTGCTATATATTAGGATATCATCAAGGTATACTACTACACCTTGATCCAAGAATTCCCTCAGCGCATCATTCATCATGTTCTGGAAGGTTGCCGGCGCATTTGCCAGCCCAAAAGGCATGACGAGGTACTCAAAATGTCCATACCGCGTATGGAAAGCTGTCTTCCACTCGTCGCCGTCTTTGATCCTGATAAGGTTGTAACCTTCCTTCAGGTCAATCTTCGAGAAGATAACCGCGCCTGCCACTCGATCTCGCAGCTCATCCATAAGCGGTAAAGGATACCTGTTCTTGATGGACACACGGTTAAGTCCACGGTAGTCAACGCAAAGTCGCAGACTACCGTCCTTCTTCTTCACAAATAGGATTGGGGCTCCTGCCGGGGATTTGCTCGGCCTAATCTTTCCCAATCGCAACATTTTGTCCAGGTACTCCCGAAGCACCTTCAGCTCAACTTCGGATAGGGAGTAAACGGGTCCCCATGGTGGCTGCTTCTCTGGTTCGAGATCTATCGCATGGTCGTAGGATCGATGCGGTGGTAATTTATCTGCTTCCGATGGGAGGAAGACTTTAAGGAACCCATGGAGCCAAGAGGGAAGAGTTTCGCGGAGGTTGACCGATTCATCTTCCAAAAGGCAAATACTACCGATGAATTGTGCCTCCGGATCGTCCAATACACCCTCGTCCATTTCTATTTGAGGTTCCTTGTCAGTGAAGCATCGACTCTTGCAGTTTTCGCCATCGTAGGAAACTTCCCCATTTGCCCCTATAACCGGCTTATGTTCTTTCAACCACCAGTTCGGTAATATTGCATCTGTAACGGGGGTCCTTTCTAAGAGGTATAGACTAAAGTAGAATAGAGACGGCCGTGCAAGATAGACAATCAGGTTGCAGATTATTCAAAGATACTATCGCTAGAACTCAATAATCTTTAAGGGCTCTGCTACCGATAAGAACTTGGTTTTTCTTTCTGATGAAGACTGGAGAGAATTCGGACTGAAGGGCGGGAATGAACCTGAGTACTTATACTCCGAAGGCCTCTGTTCTCTGCTCCTAACTCCTTTACTAAGTTCCGGTGGGCCTTCCCTCAGTACCGGAAACAATACCACCGCTACCCCGCTTTTCTCTAGGCGTTAGCAGGTGTTTCCGATACCCAAGGCAACCACCCTTAGTCAAAGCCTTTGTAACACCTGCAGTCTTGGTTGCCACACAACCGAGGACCTGCATGAATGAGCTGCCGCTCAGGTGTAAGCTTAATCATTGCTGTAAAGCTTTCGCTTATTGTAGACTTCCCTAGCATAGTCCCTGCCCTTCAGCGGACTTACAATGCTCGGAGGATATAGAGGATCACCGGGCAATCAGAGCTTCACTCTGGCCGGTCTTCTAGTCACTGGCGAGGCATAGACTCGTCAGTCATTGCTCCCATGAATAGATCCCCTTCCTAGCGCCCGGAATGTAGTTACTCTAACAGCTGGTAGCTAACCACACTGCCGGTACTTGCATATCACCGTGCAACTGGCTTCTAACAATAACTCTCAGCATGTAACCGGGCCCTGTGTGTACTCATACACCAGACAGTTGAAATGGCTCCGTTACACCACTCCCCTCTTCCAGGATCTTGGTCTCCGAGATCTATAACCATTCTATTACCATTCGTTCTATATGACAAGAAACTTCGTGATATGCAAGGAAAATGAAAACCCGAAAGGAAAATAGTCTACACCCCAACAATCCGCTTGTCTTTGGGTTTCTTAGGATACCTCATATGGAAATCCCGAAGGGCTTCTTCAGCACTCTTCTTGAGATGCTCCCAAGGTTCCCATGTAGCATCCTCGTTTTCATAACCTTCCCACAGCACTAGGTATTCCACTCGTCTTCTCTTCTTATTGACCCGGCTATCAGCTACCTCTCGGACAACCCAGTTCTGTTCTCCCTCAACCTCTTCGGGTTCCGGTGGGGGAACTCTTCTCTCAGGATCTACCGGTGCTCTGTAGGGTTCTAGGAGAGAGACATGAAAGACCGGGTGGATTCCCATCTGGGGGGGAAGAGAGAGCTTGTAGGCACGGGTACCAATAGCTTCTAAGACCTTAAAGGGTCCCATCTTCTTCTGATCCAGTTTTCCCAAAGGCCGCTTTGTTTGCACATTGCGTCGGTCCAACATAACTTCATCTCCGGGCTTGATTTCAGGTGGTGCCAGGGCATGAGCATCATACCACCGGGCCATCCTTAATCTAGCTTTACCCAAGCTGGCGTTCATAGCCTGCCAGATAGATTCCCATTGAGATATCATAACCTCGCTTGCTGGATTGTTCCATTCTACTCCTTCCCTTGGGGCCGGCCAGTTGGTCCTGGGTTCATATCCATAGTTGGCATAAAAAGCCGATACTTTGGTAGACTCAGAGACCGCCGAGTTATAAGCATACTCTGCCAAAGGCAAGAGTTCTGCCCAGTCATCCTGTTGATATGAACAATAACTCCGCAAGTAATGTTCCAGGGTCTGATTAACTCTTTCTGTTTGACCGTCCGTTTGGGGGTGGAAAGATGTGGACATCTTCAGCTTCACATTGAGGAGACTCATGAGAGATTGCCAAAAGTGAGAGATGAACCTGCTATCTCTGTCCGAGACTATGTCATCAGGTAAACCATGGAGTCTCCAAACTTCCTTTAAGAACAACTTAGCCAAATCTTCCGTTTTATTGAGGGTAGGAAGAGGGATGTAGTGTGCCATTTTCGAAAAGCGGTCCACTATTACCCAGATCTTTGTAAACCCACTAGATTCCGGTAATCCCACAATAAAGTCCATAGAGATGGAAGTCCATGGCCGATAGGGTATCTCCAACGGTTGGAGCATACCAAACTTCTTGTGTCTTGAGGTCTTATTCCTCTGGCAGCTGTCACAGCTCCGGACATATTCCTCAACATCCTTATCCATGTTGGGCCAAAAGAAGTTGTTTTTCACCCGCTCTAATGTCTTAAATTGGCCAAAATGACCAGCCACCTTAGAGTCATGGGTATCGGACAGTATTTCCATCTGAAGCTTCTTGTCTTTGGGGATGTACCATCTATTCTTGTAGAAGATGAGACCGTTCTTAACCGACAAGTTCTGATCCAAATTTGGTTTCCTTTCAACCAGGGAGCGGTGCAGTTCCTGCCAGAAACTATCCTCTTTAGCGGCCGCATATAGACGCTCCAAGAATGTGTTCTGCAATTGATTCACCCTGACAGCCGCTAGCTTTGCAGGATCCAAAACCAATTGACCTGGCCTAAAAAAGATCTGTGGCTCCGGCTGCAGAGTTTCACCTCCCTCTCCAAGGCGGTGATCCCAGCGCCTAGATAGCACATCAGTCTTGCCATTCTTTTCTCCCGGTCTGTAGACAACTTTAAAATTGTAGCCTGCGAGGTCTTCAGACCATCTAGCTTGCCGCCTAGTGAGAACCTTGGTAGAATTAAAGTACTCCAAGTTCTTGTGGTCTGTGAAAACCGTGATCTCTTGCTCACAAGATTTGAGCATGTGTTCCCATTCCCGGAAAGAGGCTACAATAGCTCCCATTTCCTTATCGTGAATGTCATAGTTGATCTCAGCAGGGGAGAACTTCTTAGAATAGAATGCCACCGGATGTAGCTTCCCATCATCCCCATACTGAGAGAGCACCGCTCCCTTGGCAAAATCACTGGCATCTGTCTCGACCACCGTTCTCCTACTAGGGTCAAAATGAAGGAGGATTGGAGCAGTTGTGAACAGCCTCTTGAGTTCTTCAAAGGCCTGCTCATGTACTGCCGTCCAATACCATTTCTTATCTTTTTGCAGGAGGTCAGTTAATGGCTTGCAAACCTTACTGAAGCCTTCAATGAAGCGGCGATAGAAGTTTGCAAATCCGAGGAATGCCTGTACTGCCTTGATATTCTCAGGGATTGGCCATTCCTTAACTGCCTCCACCTTGTCTTCTGACATAGACACTCCCTTTTCCGAGATGTGATAGCCTAGGTACTCTACTTCTCGGACATGGAAGGATGTCTTACTGATCGAGGCACAGAGCTTAGCTTCCCTTAGCTTCTGTAAGACCTTCTTGACCAGTAGCTCATGCTCTTTCTCAGTCTCTGAGTAGATGAGGATATCGTCGATATAGACAACCACTCCTTCATCCAGTAGTTCCTTCAGCACATCATTGATCATGGCTTGGAAAGCGGAGGGAGCATTGCAAAGACCAAACGGCATCACATTATACTGATACAGTCCATAGCGAGTTCTGAAAGCGGTTTTCCACTCATCACCTTCAGCTATCCTGATCAGATTGAAGCCGTTCTTCAGGTCTATCTTTGTGAAGATCTTGGCCTTGAACAACCTGTCTCTGAGCTCACTCATGATAGGCAGCGGGTACTTGTCTTTGACAGTGACCTTGTTCAATCCTCTGTAGTCCACACAAATCCGCAATGTCCCATCTTTCTTAGGAATAAACAGTATGGGCGCCGCAGCGGGGCTATTAGATCTAGAGATCTTTCCTGAAGACAATTCTTTGTCCAGGTACTCTCGGAGGGCCTTCAATTCTGGAGCGGAACATGGGTACAGCGGGCCAAATGGGGGAGCGGTCCCAGGCAAGAGTTTGATCTTTAAATCATTATGGGAATGCGGCGGCATTTCCTCAATCTTCTCTTGACTGAACACATCAGCCCAATCCCGGTATAGGTGGTGTATTTTCTCAGCAATATCACCTCCGTCCTCATCATGCCATACTGAACCAACTAGTTGATAGACTGTCTCTTCTTCTTCCAACATTTGGTATGGAGAGATCAGTTCAATCTTGGTGGCCGCTGGGAGACAATTCTGCTTACAGTAGTCACTCCTCCAGCTCATGGTGTTGAGTTCCCAATTAATGTCCGGGTTATGCTTCCTAGCCCAACTAATTGGCAGGTAACCGGTCATTCCTTCTTCCAGTGTGGCCACCTCCCATCGGAGTGTCTCTTTATGATCTCCCATAGTCATACGGACCGGGTGAGTGTAATACTCGCCTCCTCCCATCATGACATCTCCTTGAGCATCAAACATTGTCAGAGGTTGATCCCGCCGCACTAAGGGAATTCCATGTTTCCTGACAAAACTCTGGTTGAGGATAGCTCCTGTACAACCGGTGTCAAACAGGAAAGACCCTTGGGCGCCTTCATCCTTTCCTTTGACCGTCCATGACAGTCCTGCCTTCAGTATAGGTCTTTTTCCATGTACTGGTAAGGAGGGAAGCCTCTGTTCCAACCTTCTTTGCTTAACAGCGGGTTCTGAACTTGTTTCTCTTTGTCTTTTCAACATAGCTAATAGCTTCGGGCACTACTAAGATCAGAGATCCTTTGGTTATATTCCCAAGCGGTAATATAGCAGATGTATTGTGTAGTAGTCTTTTTAGCAGCGGTTTGGAAGTGTCTTGGTAGCAAATATAACTTTGGTAGAGCACTGACAGACCAGCTGTTTCGGGTCTTAAACCCATCCTCAGAGTGCTTGTAGCAATCAAATAGGCGGAAACACAATCATAATTTATTCAAAAGAAACATAGAAACCAAAACCCATATAAAAGAAAACTAGTAAACATAGACCCAAACAGACACTTTTCTACCAGATGATTTCATTGTCCGAGTCTTGCTCAGGCTGAAAAACAAAATCTTCTGTAACCTCCGGGAGTACAACAAGTGGATCTTCTGCTACTACAGCAGCCACTTTAGCCTTCTTCTGAGAGTTGGACTTGCCATTCCCTCTTTTCCGCTTTTGTACTCTCACTGCTGCCACTCGGACAACAGTAGGTTCCTTGGACCAACAATCGGTCCATTTGTGTCTGGACTTGCCGCACTATTGCACAAGTCAGTCTATGCACTCTACCAATAGGGAGTACCGGAAGGTCATACCTTCAAACATACTTCTGCTTTCCTTCTTTCTTCTAGAATATCCCCCGGGATACCCTTCAGTTCCACCGCTTTGTCTTTAGGTCCTGGAGTCTTCTGAGGTCCGGAGGAGCTCGCAGCTTCTCTTTTCCTCTTAGGCTGCTGGTCCTTCTGAGCGGGAGGATCTTTCTTGGTCCGAGGGTGCGCTTTCTCAGCTGCCATCCCTTGGTACCTCTCATGGGTATGCCCTAACTCTCTTAGAGCAGCTATCCGCTCCATCAAGGACTTTGGCTTGGGGTTGAAAAGAGCCCAACTCATGCCTAGGTCCGGGAGGAGGGAGTTATGGATCTTATCATCCACCAACTGACCCTCATAGCCAGTCTTCCACATCAGCTGAATAATAGTATTCAGGAAGAGGTCTATTCCTCCTCGAGCTGTGTGGGTGAGGGTATTCCATTGGGCTACAGCATCATCTCTGGAGATGGCTTCTCCGAAGGCAGCTCTAAAAGCATCCACAAAGGAATCCCAGTGCTTCCATCTCTGATCCAACTGCACCGGTACTCCAGCAAGGCGGTTGGCGGAGGCTTGATCAATTGAATTGTGGTATGCCTCATACCATCGGATCGCTGCCTCCCCTTCCATCAAGTTGCCTGCATATCGGATCTTAACCTCCTCAGAGGTAAATGACAGGCTCTCAATGGAGAACACATTCTCACATTGCCGGATGAAGGTTTCCACTTGCTCCGCCTTGCCTTGGAACTTTGATGGTGGTGGTGCCTTTGGTTCTCGGGCTCTGGTGGAAGTAGAAGGGTGGGAGGTAGCTGGAGGTTGATACTGCTGGGACATCATTGCCAACAGGTTCTTCTGTTGCTTCTCCAACTTCTTCTTAAGGTATCTCCGCCATTCTCTCCTGTTACCTCCTTCTGGTTCCGAGTCTGAGCTGTCAGAACTGTCTGAATCTCCAGGAGCAGGAGCGCGGGCCGCAGGAGGTGGAGGGTTCTGGTTCCCACCGCTTCCACCCTGCGCATTGGCTGGAGGGGGAGCAGCGGCCGCAGCAGAAGGGGCCACAGGTGCTACTGGTGCCGGGTTGCTGGCCAGTGGAGAGGTTGCTGCTGGTTGAGCGGCCCCAGACATGGTGAACCTTCCTGGGTTCCTGGCTAGCGGGCTGGGAGGTCCTCGGCCTGCACCTGAGAAGAACTCTCCTTCATAGTCAAAGGATCGGTCGGCTCCTCCAAGGAGTGGATGTGTTCCACCGAAGCGGCTAGGTGGTAAGGGTGAAGCCCCCACCGCTGGCTGCACAATAGGGATAACTCTCCTAGTGGATCGGACCGGAAATGCTGCGAAGGGACTGGTCTTCCGCTGCATTGTTCTGGTGGCTGCCCTGGACGAGGACCTAGAGCCTGGATTTGGTGCCGGAGTTGCTGGTCTACCCACCACCAGTCTTCCTTCATCAAGGGCTCTCTGTATCTCGGCAACAAAGTCTGGTGGAGTAGCCGGGTTTGTCCACTCAATCTCCATGGCATCGGCATTCAGCTCATCCCTCTCCATATACTTCCGAAGTTCTTCCTGAACCGAGTTGACCTCCCTCCTCATGTACTCAAGAGCCTCTGCCATCAGAGCATTCTGTGCTGCCTGGCGCTCTTGTACAATGAGTAGGGCCTGACTGCCCCGGGTCAACTGATTCTGCAGGCTGTGTTGGAGGTAGGTCTGGAGCTCTGTGAAGAACTGTTGGACGGAAATCTCGTCGGTATCCTGCCAGGCAGGCTCACAGCCGGGAATGTAGGTCTGTAGAGCGGTCCTGGGTTTTTTGACAAGCTGTGTCTGCCCGGTGGCATCCAGCTGGAGGGGCACCGGCTGCCATTCAATCTGAAGGAGTGCATCTGGAGCCGAGAGGGCGGACATTTTGTATAGAGGAAGAATAATCTGAAGGTGACTTGAGCCGTAAAGATTATCTGTAACGGGGGTCCTTTCTAAGAGGTATAGACTAAAGTAGAATAGAGACGGCCGTGCAAGATAGACAATCAGGTTGCAGATTATTCAAAGATACTATCGCTAGAACTCAATAATCTTTAAGGGCTCTGCTACCGATAAGAACTTGGTTTTTCTTTCTGATGAAGACTGGAGAGAATTCGGACTGAAGGGCGGGAATGAACCTGAGTACTTATACTCCGAAGGCCTCTGTTCTCTGCTCCTAACTCCTTTACTAAGTTCCGGTGGGCCTTCCCTCAGTACCGGAAACAATACCACCGCTACCCCGCTTTTCTCTAGGCGTTAGCAGGTGTTTCCGATACCCAAGGCAACCACCCTTAGTCAAAGCCTTTGTAACACCTGCAGTCTTGGTTGCCACACAACCGAGGACCTGCATGAATGAGCTGCCGCTCAGGTGTAAGCTTAATCATTGCTGTAAAGCTTTCGCTTATTGTAGACTTCCCTAGCATAGTCCCTGCCCTTCAGCGGACTTACAATGCTCGGAGGATATAGAGGATCACCGGGCAATCAGAGCTTCACTCTGGCCGGTCTTCTAGTCACTGGCGAGGCATAGACTCGTCAGTCATTGCTCCCATGAATAGATCCCCTTCCTAGCGCCCGGAATGTAGTTACTCTAACAGCTGGTAGCTAACCACACTGCCGGTACTTGCATATCACCGTGCAACTGGCTTCTAACAATAACTCTCAGCATGTAACCGGGCCCTGTGTGTACTCATACACCAGACAGTTGAAATGGCTCCGTTACAGCCGGTGTTGAATTCCTTGCACCATTCTGTCAGATAGGTGGGGAATTTTTGCTGGTGCATGATTTCTGCGAGGAGTAGGTGGTCTACACAGTTAAATGCTCCCTGGATATCGTTGGTTAGGATCACTGGTCTGTCCCGCAGGGTGACTCCGGTGCTGTTTTTCAGTAGTAGGTTTTGTTGTATTGGTGTTAGGGTTCTTAAGAGGGTGTCGATTGCTGAGATGGTTGGTCTCCCCCCGAATTGATTCGCGGTAAGTATGCCTAAGATTTCCCCGGAGGTGCAGAGTCTCTGAGCCACTATTTTCTCCAGGATTTTGCTGAAGCATTGTAGAAGGGATATGGGCCGGTAGGCTTTTGCTTCGTGATAGTTTGCTTTGCCGGGTTTTGGGATCGGGATGCATTTTGCTATTTTCCATTCCGCTGGGTGTACTCCGTGCCGAAGCATAGCGGAGAACATGTCTTGGATCAGAGTTGTGTTTGCCTTGATTATTGCTTTGATGAAGGTATAGGGAATGCCATCCGGGCCGGTCGCCGAGTGCACTGGGCAGGAGTCAATTGCTTTTTTGAGTTCTTCGGGGATGACTATGTCAAAAGTGTTGCGAAGATGAAAAGAGGGGGGTCTAATGTTTAGGGGGGGGTGGTCGGGGGACGTCCATTTTGTGGGGAAGAGTTGGGCTCTTGGAGCTTGGCATTTCCCCGCAAACGTTTCTTCACCTTGTATGGTTGGTATGATTGTGTCTCTTCTCCTTCCTGCATTTAGGATCCTCCAGACCTCACTACCTTTCGCTTCATTCATCGTCTTTTCCCGCTGGTCCGCTTTTGCCTTCCGGATCATGACTGTCCATTCTCTGCATGCCTTCCGGTGCTCCTCCACGTGGTTGGGTTTCCTCGTATTTCTCGCCTTCCTGTGAGGGATGCGTACCAGATCACATGAGTACACTACGCAGAGCTCAGAGTTCGGCTAACAGCTACAAAGGTAGAAGTCTCCAAGGTCTCTTCAGTCAACGTCGAGTATGATTCTCCTTGATCCGATACGGGCCCCGCGAGCTACGTTATCAACAAAGATTCACTAGAGTTAGCGTATAGTATTCGACCGTCTTCGACGTAATAGTTCAGGTAGAGTTCGAAGTCACGATAGAGTAAAGTAATTCCAAAAGTATATTCAAATAAAGTTGTAACTCGCGTATCAACGATTTATATTGTTAAGACTCTGATTTCGCCGATGATGGTTTGGCTAGTCAGTGAATGACACAGTATTTATATCCCTCGCTTATGTCTCGAGGACCCAGTCTACTAATAATACAGAATACACTCGGGGCCTACCCGAGACCCTGAAAAACAACCAAGAACATTTAACTCCTAAGTCCGTAACCCAAACTCCTAAAGCCGCTAAAACCCCTCAACCTTTTTATCCACTCTAATGCACGTTTCCCTGTCGATGTTTCTTCCCCATCGGCCGTCTGGTGGATAATCGTCAGCGTCGGCTATTCGGAGGTCTCGGACGGCAAGGCTACCTACTCAGGCCTCTTCCCACATCGCTTTCCCACATAGCAGAGTCCTCTCATGCCCACAGGTACCGCCGATAGGTACTCGGTCGGCTGGCAGCTTGCGCCGATTCGCTCCGAGGGGTCCGATCTTCGATCCGATTGATTCCAGCTGTCCCTCATATATCCACCGGTACCAAAACACTCCCCTCCGGCGGTTTGACGCTCCGGGGGTTATTATTGGGGTCGAAAACGTGTTTTTTATGACTCTGGGTTTTTGGTCGTAATTTGGTCGCACCACACTCCGCGAGTGTGGTCAAGAGTTGATATTAGCGTACAGAGGGTATTGGGGTATCTACTAGCCTTTCTCTCACTCCCGTAAATACTTGGCATGCCCGTAACACTTCCTCTCTGCCGAGTTTACCCTTGCCTTCATTTGTTTCATTTCGTCTGACCACCAGGAGTTGGCTCTTACCCCCTCCTTCGAGAGTGGCGTTACTATATTGATTATTGACTTGACCAGTTCTAGGAAGAATTCGACAGTTTGTTCCGTATGTTCCTTGGTTTCCCATGCTTCTGCAGGGAGGGAAAGATTTGATATGTGGTTATCCAATAGCTTCCAGTCTGTTTGTTGCCACATTCGTCTTGGTACAAAGGGTGGTTTTTCCAAGTGTAGATGGACAGAGGTTTTCCCGTGGTCTGAGCCCACTCCATAGGGTTCAGTGCTCCATCGTAGGTTGTGGTCAAGTACTGGGCCTTTTACAAATGTCAGGTCGATGATTGTGGGCCTTTTCCCTCTATCTCTAGGGAAGTGCGTATAGACTCCTGGTTTATTCAGGAGGGTCAGTTTCTGTCAGGTTATCCATTGTTTTAGCCGTGCACCGTTGGCGCGGTCTGCTCGAATGTTGTTCCTGTATTCATATGAGGTTACTCCATACCACATTTGATGGTGGCAGTTGAAGTCTCCCATTACTAGGCAATTATCGAGGGTTTGGATTGTGTTTGCTATTTGGGCAAAGGGGCCACTTCGCCCTGAGGAGTATATGTTTAGGATTTGGGTTTTCTTGGTCTGGATTTCTACCGTAATCGATACTATAAAGTTATCGTATGTATAGTGGTGTTTTGGTTTAAGGTTGGCATGTTTGCGGACATATGTTGCGCATTTTGTATTGGTGTTGCTGGCTGTAAAAAGGTAAAAGAGATTTGATTCTGGTGGGTATCCCTCTGTTGAGGTCCATGGTTCTTGTAATAGTAGGAAAAATATGCTAGAGTCTGTTTCCGCTTCCTCCACCGCCGCCTTGATGATTAGTTCGCTCCGTGCACAATTAAGTTGGTGTGCGAGCGCGGTGTTTCGGGGCCTAGGCATTATTCTTCATGTGTTGGCCGTCTTCGGGAACGGGTGTGGCTGCGACCTGTATCCCTGCAATCGGGCGGTAGCTGGCACTTGGACTATTGGAAGTAACTCTTGAACGGGTGCTGCCGTTGGGTCTTGGGCAGGTGGGGCGGTTTCCTTTCCTTTGTTGAGGAATCGGCGTTTGATCCTTTCGGGGTGTAACGGAGCCATTTCAACTGTCTGGTGTATGAGTACACACAGGGCCCGGTTACATGCTGAGAGTTATTGTTAGAAGCCAGTTGCACGGTGATATGCAAGTACCGGCAGCGTGGTTAGCTACCAGCTGTTAGAGTAACTACATTCCGGGCGCTAGGAAGGGGATCTATTCATGGGAGCAATGACTGACGAGTCTATGCCTCGCCAGTGTCTAGAAGATCGGCCAGAGTGAAGCTCTGATTGTCCGGTGATCCACTGTATCCTCGGAGCATTGTAAGCCCGCCGAAGGGGCAGGGACTATGCTAGGGAAGTCTACAATAAGCGGAAACTCTACAGCAATGATTAAGCTTACACCTGAGCGGCAGCTCATCCATGCAGGTCCTCGGTTGTGTGGCAACCAAGGCTGCAGGTGTCACAAAGGCTTTGACTAAGGGTGGTTGCCTTGGGTATCGGAAACACCTGCTGACGCTTAGAGAAAAGCGGGGTAGCGGTGGTATTGTTTTCCGGTACTGAGGGAAGGCCCACCGGAACTTAGTAAAGGAGTTAGGAGCAGAGGACAGAGGCCTTTGAAGTATAAGTACTCAGGCTCATTCTCGCCCTTCAGTCCTGTTCTCTCGAGTCTTCATCAGAAAGAAAAACCAAGTTCTTATCGGTAGCAGAGCCCTTAAAGATTATTGAGTTCTAGCGATAGTATCTTTGAATAATCTGCAACCTGATTGTCTATCTTGCACGGCCGTCTCTATTCTATACAAATCTATTTCTCTTAGAAAGGACCCCCGTTACAGATAATCTTTAAGGCTCAAGTCACCTTCAGATTATTCTTCCTCTATACAAAATGTCCGCCCTCTCGGCTCCAGATGCACCCCTTCAGATTGAATGGCAGCCGGTGCCCCTCCAGCTTGATGCCACCGGGCAGACACAGCTTGTCAAGAAGCCCAGGACCGCTCTACAGACCTACATTCCCGGCTGTGAGCCTGTCTGGCAGGATACCGATGAGGTTTCCTTACAACAGTTCTTCACAGAGCTTCAGACCTACCTCCAGCACAGCCTGCAGAGTCAGTTGAACCGAGGCAGTCAGGCACTGCTCATTGTACAAGAGCGCCAGGCAGCACAGAATGCTCTGATGGCAGAAGCTCTAGAGTACATGAGGTCGGAAGTCAACTCTGTTCAGGAAGAGCTCCGGAGGTATGCAGAAAGAGATGAACTGAATGCCGATGTTGATGCTATGGAGATTGAGTGGACCAATCCGGCCACTCCACCAGACTTTGTTGCCGAGATACAGAGAGCTCTTGATGAAGGAAGGTTGGTGGTGGGTAGACCAGCAACTCCGGCACCATTTTCAGTCTCCAGGTCCTCTTCCAGAGCAGCTACCAGGACAATGCAGCGGAAGACCAGCCCCTTTGCAGCATTTCCGGTCCGATCCACTAGGAGAGTTATCCCTATTGTGCAGCCAGCGGTGGGGGCTTCACCCTTACCACCTAGCCGCTTCGGTGGAACACATCCACTCCTTGGAGGAGCCGACCGATCCTTTGACTATGAAGGAGAGTTCTTCTCAGGTGCAGGCCGAGGACCTCCTAGTCCGCTAGCCAGGAACCCAGGAAGGTTTACCATGTCTGGGGCTGCTCAACCAGCAGCAACCTCACCACTGGCCAGCAACCCGGCACCAGTAGCACCTGTGGCCCCTTCTGCTGCGGCCACCGCTCCCCCTCCAGCTCAGGCACAGGGAGGAAGTGGCGGAGATCAGAATCCTCCAGCTCAGGCACAGGGAGGAAGTGGCGGAAATCAGAACCCTCCACCTCCAGCAGCCCGTGCTCCCGCTCCAGGAGATTCGGATAACTCTGACAGCTCAGACTCGGAACCAGAAGGTGGTAACAGAAGAAATTGGCGGAGATACCTTAAGAAGAAGTTGGAGAAGCAACAGAAGAATCTGTTGGCAATGATGTCCCAGCAGTATCAACCTCCGACCACCTCCCACCCTTCTACTTCCACCAGGGCTCGAGAACCAAAGGCACCACCACCTTCCAAGTTCCAGGGCAAGGCGGAGCAAGTGGAGACCTTTATCCGGCAATGTGAGAATGTCTTCTCCATTGAGAGCCTATCCTTTACCTCTGAGGAGGTTAAGATCCGATATGCAGGCAACTTGATGGAAGGTGAGGCAGCGATCCGATGGTATGAGGCATACCACAATTCAATTGATCAAGCCTCCGCCAACCGCCTTGCTGGGATGCCGGTGCAGTTGGATCAGAGATGGAAGCGCTGGGATTCCTTTGTGGATGCTTTTAGAGCTGCCTTCGGTGAAGCCATCTCTAGAGATGATGCTGTAGCCCAATGGAATACCCTCGCTCACACAGCTCGAGGAGGAATAGACCTCTTCCTGAATACTATCATTCAGCTGATGTGGAAGACTGGCTATGAGGGTCAGTTGGTGGATGATAAGATCCATAACTCCCTCCTCCCGGACCTAGGCATGAGTTGGGCTCTTTTCAACCCCAAGCCAAAGTCCTTGATGGAGCGGATAGCTGCTCTAAGAGAGTTAGGGCATACCCATGAGAGGTACCAAGGGATGGCAGCTGAGAAAGCGCACCCTCGGACCAAGAAAGATCCTCCCGCTCAGAAGGACCAGCAGCCTAAGAGGAAAAGAGAAGCTGCGAGCTCCTCCGGACCTCAGAAGACTCCAGGACCTAAAGACAAAGCGGTGGAACTGAAGGGTATCCCGGGGGATATTCTAGAAGAAAGAAGGAAAGCAGAAGTATGTTTGAAGGTATGACCTTCCGGTACTCCCTATTGGTAGAGTGCATAGACTGACTTGTGCAATAGTGCGGCAAGTCCAGACACAAATGGACCGATTGTTGGTCCAAGGAACCTACTGTTGTCCGAGTGGCAGCAGTAAGAGTACAAAAGCGGAAAAGAGGGAATGGCAAGTCCAACTCTCAGAAGAAGGCTAAAGTGGCTGCTGTAGTAGCAGAAGATCCACTTGTTGTACTCCCGCAGGTTACAGAAGATTTTGTTTTTCAGCCTGAGCAAGACTCGGACAATGAAATCATCTGGTAGAAAAAGTGTCTGTTTTAGTCTATGTTTACTAGTTTTCTTTCATATGGGTTTTCGGGTTCTATGCTTTTCTTGAATAAATTATGATTGTGTTTCCGCCTATTTGATTGCTCCAAGCACTCTGAGGATGGGTTTAAGACCCGAAACAGCTGGTCTGTCAGTGCTCTACCAAAGTTATATTTGCTACCAAGACACTTCCAAACCGCTGTTAAAAAGACTACTACACAATACATCTGCTATATTATCGCTTGGGAATAGAACCAAAGGATCCCTGATCTTAGTAGTGCCCGAAGCTATTAGCTATGTTGAAAAGACAAAGAGAACCAAGTCCGGAAACCGCTGTTAAGCAGAGAAAGTTGGAACAGAGGCTTCCCTCCTTACCAGTACATGGAAAAAGACCTATACTGAAGGCAAGACTGTCATGGACGGTCAAAGGAAAGGATGAAGGCGCCCAAGGGTCTTTCCTGTTCGACACCGGTTGTACAGGAGCTATCCTCAATCAGAGTTTTGTCAGGAAACATGGAATTCCCTTAGTGCGGCGGGATCAACCTCTAACAATGTTTGATGCTCAAGGAGATGTCATGATGGGAGGAGGCGAGTGTTACACTCACCCGGTCCGTATGACTATGGGAGATCATAAAGAGACACTCCGATGGGAGTGTTACGGGCATGCCAAGCATTTACGGGAGTGAGAGAAAGGCTAGTAGATACCCCTATACCCTTTAATACTAATGGCAACACCACTATCAACTCCGGTTCGCACCTACGAGGTACGGTGCGATCAATATGCGACCAAATGCGGAGTTGCGGTTTTCCTAGTTAAAAGAACACGTTTTCGACCCCAATAATAACCCCCGGAGCGTCAAACCGCCGGAGGGGAGTGTTTTGGTACCAGTGGATATATGAGGGACAGCTGGAATCAATCGGATCGAAGATCGGACCGCTCGGAGCGAATCGGCGCAAGCTGCCACCCGGCCGAGTACCTATCGGCGGTACCTGTGGGCATGAGAGGACTCTGCTATGTGGGAAAGCGATGTGGGAAGAGGCCTGAACGGCCGATGGAGAAAAAAACATCGACAGGGAAACGTGCATTAGAATGGGTAAATAGGTTGAGGGGTTTCTGCAGGTTTAGGAGTTTGGGTTACGGATTTAGGAGTTAAATGTTCTTGGTTGTTTTTCAGGGTCTCGGGCATGCCCCGAGTGTATTCTGTATTATTAGTAGACTGGGTCCTCGAGACATAAGCGAGGGATATAAATACTGTGTCATTCACTGACTAGCCAAACCATCATCGGCGAAATCAGAGTCTTAACAATATAAATCGTTGATACGCGAGTTACAACTTTATTTGACTATACTTTTGGAAATACTTTATTCTATCGTGACTTCGAACTCTACCTGAACTACTACGTCGAAGACGGTCGAACATCAAACGCTAACTCTAGTGAATCTTTGTTGATAACGTAGCTCGCGGGGCCCGTATCGGATCAAGGAGATTCATACTCGACGTTGACTGAAGAGACCTTGGAGACTTCTACCTTTGTAGCTGTTAGCCGAACTCTGAGCTCTGCGTAGTGTACTCTTGTGGTCTGGTACGCATCCCTCACAGTATATTGTTACTCACAAGTTCACTTGGAGTAACGAAGTCACCTCAAAGAAAAGAACTATTATCGTTATCCTCTATTACAATGACTGCCCGAAGGGATAATTATTTCATAGATACCTCGGCCGCAACTGAGGAGGCCGGAGGGGAAGATTCTATGGTAATATCAAGGGCTGCTAGCCCAGATCCCCTACTCCAGGGAGGACCCTCTACACACACTAGGCAATCGAGTAAACGCTCTACTCAAGCCCAGTTTACGAGGTATATGCAGGAGTTTTTGGATACCCATGCGGCACAAATGAGGTATCTTGGTACAGCAGGACAGGCAATGTGGCAGGAGCTACAAAACCTTCAGGAAAAAGTGCAAGGGGGCGGGCAGACCCTGGATAAAAAGGTACGATCAGAAGCCATTGCAACAAAGCAACATCTCGAATCGCTCTTCGAGCTCGTCGCAAATGTTCAACGAATACAAGAAGCCGCACGAGCCGCCGACCATGAGGTTCTGGATCGTAATCATCTGAATACCCAGAACCAGTTACAGGAGGCGGAGCGACAGTTGAGGATGATGAGGGAAGAGCGAGAACAGGAGAAAAGGGAACAACGAGAGCTGTTGGTACAAATTAAGCAATCCGATGAAGCAAGAAACCAACGGATAGCCGAGATGGAGGAACGAATACGACAACGTTTGTCGGTAGTACCCTCCGTGGCTAGTGCTCCCTTAGATCCTAATGCACCCCAAGCGGTTTCTGTTGGCAATGGCAAGAACCCCGAAAATGCTGGCCCCCAAACCTCAGGGAACGGCAAGCAACCAGAAGGAGCTGGCCCAGTAGAAAGAAATAGAGGTAGACGACCGGAGGACGCCGGCCCAGTGCAGGGAAATAGTGGCAGGAGACCGGTAGGAGCTGCCCCAGTCGGCGGAAATGGAGGAAATCAACCTCCTCGAAACCCACCAAGAGGAAACCTTGGGGGAGATCCAGAACCTTCCGACGACGATGACGACGATAACAGCGAATGGTCGCATGGTCGGAAGAATTGGAGAATAAACCGAGGCGGGAACCGGAATTCGGCGCCGCCTGAAGACGACGATATGGTAGATTCGCTCGCCAAAATACCCTTTGAGTTCGATAATGCCCGGAAGCACAACCTGCGGCATTGGCTCATGGAGTGCGAGATCTACTTCGAGCAGAAGCCCAAGAAGTTCCGAACGGACAGAAACAAGGTGCTGTTCGCTGGAACGTATACGTGTGGGTTGGCAAAGGAATGGTTTATGGAGTATATCGAGACCAAGATGCTAGGTCCGGCAGCTGCCGACTACGCTACTTGGACTCGGTTTCGTCAGGAGATCAGGAAACGCTTCCTAAGCACTCAGGAGGCTATGGAGAACGCGATGAAAATGCAGCAGTTTAAGTACTCTGCTAACATCGGGGACTACCTGACAAGAATGGAGATCATGAACCAGCATGCTCAGATGAAAGGAGCATCCTATCGCGCCGCCTTGCTCCAAGGACTACCAAATGAAATCCGGGAGCGCCACTCACGCTTCGATCCGACCGATGACGACTCCGAGTACATCCAACAGTTGGAACGAGCCGGTAAGGCTCATGAGGCCTATCAAGAGCAGATGAAGATGTTGGGGAAAGCGGAGTCGAGAGGAAGGGAGACGAATAATGGTGGGAACTCGCGGCAAAAGGAGAAGGGGTTTAAGATCAAGGGGAGGGCTCAGGCTGAGGAGAAAGAAAAAGGGCAAGATAAGAAAAGCACCAGCAAGAACAAGTCGGGGAATAAGCCAATATACCACGACTACGACGAAGCCACCAAAGGAGTTCCACAGCCGGTCCGAGAACAGCGAAAGACCGATGGAGCCTGTGTGCGATGTGGCCGAAAGGGTCATCTTTGGAAGTGGTGTCGTTCAGATGCTAACAGCAGTGCATCTATCTCCTCTTTCTCCCGAAAGCGTACCCGCGATGACGATGGCGACCACGATATGGAACCACCGGAACCCCAACCTCAGAGAAAGCGAATGAGGCACCGTGCTAGGAAGCCGGTTGCGACGGCTGCTGCGGAGTATACCAGTGGGCAAGCGTTTGTGCGAGAACGCGGATCGGAATCTGAGATGGATTTCGACGAGGATTTTTAGAAGGGGACTCTGATGAGTCAGGTCAGGAGTATCCCCAGATTGCTATGTTATCACTGACGGAAAACAACAAAAAAAATATGAAAAGAAAAAGGCAGGAAGGGAGAGCGTCCCAGCCGGAGAAAAAACAGAAGATTTTGGAGGAACCTATTCACGGCCCTCGACCTATCGTTAATCAGTTCCTTTGTTTTGCGGGAAAATGTTTACCTTGTAAGGTGTTGTTGGATACTGGTGCAACTGGTCCTGTTTTGTCTGCTGTTTTTGTTGATAGTTTTGAGGTCCCGAAGGTGAAACGAGACGTCCCGGCCCGGGTATTTGGATTTACGGGAGAAGTTATGAAGGGCACGGGACACGCCTTTACACAACCATTAATTATAATGTCAAGGGGGCATCAAACACAGTTGTCATTCGAGATCGCCCCTCTCCCACGTAGCATCGACGCAATACTACCGAACTGGTGGTTGAAAGAACACAAGCCGGTTATAGGGTCAAATGGGGAAGTGTCCTACGACGGTGAGAACTGCAAGAGTCGTTGCTTCACTGACAAGGAACCTCAAATAGAAATGGACGAGGGTGTACTGGACGATCCGGAGGCCCAATTCATCGGTAGCATCTGTCTCTTGGAAGATGAATCGGTTAACCTCCGTGAAACTCTTCCCTCTTGGCTCCATGGGTTCCTTAAAGTCTTCCTACCGTCAGAAGCAGACAAATTACCACCGCATCGATCCTATGACCATGCGATAGATCTCGAACCAGGGAAGCAGCCACCATGGGGACCCGTTTACTCCCTATCCGAAGTCGAACTGAAGGTGCTTCGGGAGTACCTGGACAAAATGTTGCGATTGGGAAAGATTAGGCCGAGCAAATCCCCGGCAGGAGCCCCAATCCTATTTGTGAAGAAGAAGGACGGTAGTCTGCGACTTTGCGTTGACTACCGTGGACTTAACCGAGTATCCATTAAGAACAGGTATCCGTTACCACTTATGGACGAACTACGAGATCGAGTGGCAGGCGCGGTTATCTTCTCAAAGATTGACCTGAAGGAAGGTTACAACCTCATCAGGATCAAAGACGGCGACGAGTGGAAGACAGCATTCCGTACGCGGTACGGGCATTTTGAGTACCTCGTTATGCCTTTTGGGCTGGCAAATGCGCCGGCGACCTTCCAGAACATGATGAATGATGCGCTGAGGGAATTCTTGGATCAAGGTGTAGTAGTATACCTTGATGATATCCTAATATATAGCAAGTCTCGAGAAGAGCACAGGGAGTTGGTCGGCAAAGTCCTTAGTAGGCTACAAGAATACAATCTGGTCGCCAACCCGAAGAAATCGTTCTTCGAGCTCACTGAAATCGAGTTCCTCGGATACATCCTTGCCCCAGCAGGCGTCACCATGGCACTGGATAAGGTTATGTCTGTTACGAATTGGCAAGCCCCGCGTAGCGTTAAGGAAGTACAGATCTTCATGGGCTTTGCCAACTTCTATAGAAGGTTTATCCACAATTTCTCCGGGGTCTGTAAACCCATTACCGATTGTCTCAGGGGTGATGCTAAGAACTTTGTCTGGTCTATGACGGCCCAAGCAGCCTTCGAAAAACTCAAAACCCTGTTTACGTCTGCACCGATCTTGGTACATTTCTCTCCAGATCGCCAGACTATCGTGGAAACGGACGCAAGTGATTTTGCTATCGCCGCAATTTTATCCCAGGTTATTGACGGAAAGACTCACCCTGTTGCCTTTTATTCTCGAAAGCTTAACCCAGCGGAACTCAACTACGACGTGTGGGATAAGGAGATGCTAGGAATTGTGTCAGCCTTCAAGCAATGGCGTCACTACCTCGAAGGACCTAGCCGAACGGTTCTCGTCTATACGGATCACAAGAACTTGGAATATTTTTCAACAACCAAGGTTCTTAACCGACGACAGGCAAGGTGGGCTGAGTCTTTGGCGGAATTTGACTTTAAGATTATTTGGAAATTACATGGACTCCCTGAAACTATGGTATCTGATCGAGGAACACAATTTGTTGCGGAATTCTGGAGGTCCCTTTGCGATCGTTTGGAAATATCGCCAAAATTCTCTACAGCGTTTCACCCTCAGACGGATGGACAAACGGAAAGAATCAATGCTGTGATGGAACAATACCTTCGAAGTTATGTTTCTTATCAACAGGACGACTGGGTTCGATGGTTGCCAATAGCCGAGTTTGCAACAAATAACCATGCTTCTGAAACAACGAGAATCTCTCCATTTTACGCCAACTCAGGGAGGAATCCAAGAATGACTTTTGGTCCTTTGGAACATGGTAGGACGACAGCGGAGGATCAGGCCAATAGTATTGCAAGGGAGATGAAGAATATATTGGATTTTCTAAAGGATGAATTATTTCGAGCGCAAAGGATTCAAGAAGAGTCCGCCAATATACGTCGAACTCCAGCACCTCACTATCGAGTAGGAGATCGAGTTTTCTTATCAACACGCCATGTCCTCACCAAACGACCATCGAAGAAACTTGATTGGAAACGCATTGGACCATATATCGTGAAGCGGATCGTTAGTCCTTATGCCTATGAGTTGGAACTCCCTCGTTCCATGAAAGTTCATCCCGTATTCCATGTCTCTTTATTGTCGTCTACAGCAAACGATCCTTTACCAGGACAACAACAGTTACCACCACCGCCGGTCGAAGTTGAAGGACAGGAGGAGTGGGAAGTCGAGGATATTTTGGATTCCAGGGATCGTCGGGGAAGATTTGAATACTTGGTTAAGTATGCCGGTTATGACGAAGCTTCGTGGCAGCCATTGTCGGATGTCGAACATTCGCCCGATATTGTCAAACGATTTCACAAACGATATCCACGGAAGCCTAAGCCTACCAGGAGGTAGGCCCTAGAGGGGGGAGTGGTCTGTAACGGCAGCCATGTGGTTTGGTTATGCGAGGTGTTAGGGTATGAAGAGGAAGGGTTATGCAGTGTGGTTGGGTTTAGCGAAGCGGGTTTCTATTATGTTCTTTCTGTTTCTGTTACGCGAGAGTATGAGTCAGCATTGGGATAGGGCATGGATATATAAGGGGGGCGTTGTCTCGTGATTTCTTGTTTCTCTTTCTTTTCCTTTCCTCTTTATGTAACCTCTGTACTTTACAGTTACGAATACTATTTGGTTCGCGCTACGTCATAGGGTTTACCCGGTATACTAGACCAGGTACAACCATCCATAGTCCATAGTCCACAGTCTCCGTTCTTGCCTTAGGTCTACCCTTCGGCCCCATAGTCCATAGTCCACGATCCCGCCTTGGTAGCATACCTCGGCCCCATAGTCCATAGCCCACGAACCTCCTACGCCCACGTCTTCGCCTCGGTTGTATTCCTTGGCTTCATAGTTCCTACGCCCACAGTCCCCGTTACATTTGGCTAGTCAGTGAATGACACAGTATTTATATCCCTCGCTTATGTCTCGAGGACCCAATCTACTAATAATACAGAATACACTCGGGGCATGCCCGAGACCCTGAAAAACAACCAAGAACATTTAACTCCTAAGTCCGTAACCCAAACTCCTAAAGCCGCTAAAACCCCTCAACCTTTTTATCCACTCTAATGCACGTTTCCCTGTCGATATTTCTTCCCCATCGCCCGTCTGGTGGATAATCGTCAGCGTCGGCTATTCGGAGGTCTCGGACGGCAAGGCTACCTACTCAGGCCTCTTCCCACATCGCTTTCCCACATAGCAGAGTCCTCTCATGCCCACAGGTACCGCCGATAGGTAGTCGGTCGGCTGGCAGCTTGCGCCGATTCGCTCCGAGCGGTCCGATCTTCGATCCGATTGATTCCAGCTGTCCCTCATATATCCACCGGTACCACAACACTCCCCTCCGGCGGTTTGACGCTCCGGGGGTTATTATTGGGGTCGAAAACGTGTTTTTTATGACTCCGTGTTTTGATCGTATATTGGTCGCACCACACTCCGCGAGTGCGGTCCAGAGATGACATTAGCGTACAGAGGGTATTGGAGTATCTACTGGCCTTTTCTCTCACTTCCGTAAATACTTGACATGCCCGTAACAGCTTACCCCCCTTCCAGGGTGTCACGTCTCGGGACATCTTCTGACAGACTATGGTTCCACAAAACCTGCTCCACATATCACCCGCGGTGTCTGTGGAGGGGAAGGACTTAGCCCCGTAGGGTACCTCTATAGTCTCAGGCGTTGGTCCTTCACGGCCTTGGGGTTCCTTCGATGAAAGTCGCAGACTAAGTCACGTACCTCCTCATCCATAGCATCCAGGACTTGGTACGTGCAGTCGCTCATCGAATAGCCCCGCCATTTCACCAGGTATTCCACTAATCCTCTTCTGCTCTTCCGGCTCCCCACAATACTTTCCACTTCATACAGAACCTCTCCTTCCTTATCGACCTCTTCGGTAGTCGGGGGACGTTGTTCGCGGCCTGGGATACTGCTCTGTCGATAACGTTCCAAGAGTTCGATGTGGAATACGTTATGGATCTTAACTTGTGGTGGCAGTTCCAATTCGCAGGCTCGTTTACCGGCTAGTCGGACAATTTTAAACGGGCCGAGTTTCTTATGATCGAGTTTCTTGGTTGAGCGACGAGTCTTGATGTTGGTTGCGTTGAGCATAACCATGTCTCCCACCTTGAAGTTAGGCGGTTCGTCCCTTTTCCGATCATAGTATTTCCCCATCTTCTCCCTGGTGTCTGTTAAGCGAGCAAGAGCAGAATCATGAACTCCTCGGATGAAGTGAGCGTACAGGTCGCTGGTTGGATTGACCACTTCGGCTTCCGTCGGCCAGTTGGTTCTTGGGTTGTAACCGTAATTGGTATAGAACGGAGATTGACCCGTGGCGGTGGTAACCGAATTGTTGTAAGCATACTCCGCCAACGGGAGTAGCTCTGCCCAATCATCTTGCTCGTAGTTGCAGAATGCTCGTAAGTAGTGCTCGAGGGTTTGGTTGACCCGCTCTGTTTGCCCATCGGTCTGAGGGTGGAAAGCCGTACTCATTCTTATCCTCACGTCCAATAATTCCATAAGAGATGCCCAAAAGCTTGAAGTAAACTTGGCGTCTCTGTCGGAAACTATATCAAGAGGCAGCCCATGGAGTCGCCAGATTTGACCGAGGAATATCTTCGCTAAATCCTGCGCGGTCGTTTCTGCTACTAGGGGGATGAAGTGCGACATCTTCGAGAACCTATCGACTACTACCCAGATTTGGTTGTATCCCTTTGATTCCGGTAATTGCACAATGAAGTCCATTGATATCGATTGCCAGACAGAATGTGGCGTGGACAGTGGTAGAAGCGCGCCGTATTTCTTATGGCGGCTGGGTTTGTTGCGCTGGCACTCGTCACATGACCGAACGTAATCATCAATCCACTCGTTCATTTTTGGCCAATAGAAGTTGCGCGTAATAAGTTCCAAAGTTTTGTCTTGTCCAAAGTGTCCTGCCACCTTCGAATCGTGTTCTGCCTGTGCGATTCGGATCTTGATACGGTCGTCTGCCGGAATATAGAGTCGGTTCTTATAGAAGAGTAGCCCGTCTTTCTCAGCGATATCCTTCAATTCCCCCAACTTCTCCCCTTGCTCAACTCTCTCTTTCATTCCTACCCATGTCGGGTCTCCCGATGCCGCCTGCCTGACATGATCCAGAAAGTTCTTAGACCAGTCAATCACCCCCTTGGAGGCAAGCGACACCGTTGATACCACAAATTCTTCCTCCGCCAACTGTCCGGGCTTAAAGAACCTGTCTATCGGCTGTTTCCCAAGCGTGCCTCCCCCTTCAGGACGGTACTCCGGCCGTCGCGATAGTGCATCTGCCTTCCCATTTTTGGTTCCCGGGCGGTAAATAATCTTGAAGTCAAATTCCGCCAGAGACTCAGCCCACCTTGCCTGTCGTCGGTTAAGAACCTTGGTTGTAGAGAAGTACTCTAAGTTCTTGTGATCCGTATAAACGAGAACCGTTCGGCTAGGTCCTTCGAGGTAGTGACGCCATTGCTTGAAGGCCGACACAATTCCTAGCATCTCCTTATCCCAGACATCGTAGTTGAGGTCCGCTGGGTTAAGCTTTCGAGAATGAAAGGCGACAGGGTGAGTCTTTCCGTCAATAACCTGGGATAGAATTGCGGCGATAGCAAAATCACTTGCGTCCGTTTCCACGATAGTCTGGCGATCTGGAGAGAAGTGTACCAAGATCGGCGCAGACGTAAACAGGGTTTTGAGTTTTTCGAAGGCTGCTTGGGCCATCATAGACCAGACAAAGTTCTTAGCATCACCCCTGAGACAATCGGTAATGGGTTTACAGACCCCGGAGAAATTGTGGATAAACCTTCTGTAGAAGTTGGCAAAGCCCATGAAGATCTGTACTTCTTTAACACTGCGCGGGGCTTGCCAATTCGTAACAGACATGACCTTATCCAGTGCCATGGTGACGCCTGCTGGGGCAAGAATGTATCCAAGGAACTCGATTTCGGTGAGCTCGAAGAACGATTTCTTCGGGTTGGCGACTAGATTGTATTCTTGTAGCCTACTAAGGACTTTGCCGACCAACTCTCTGTGCTCCTCCCGAGACTTGCTATATATTAGGATATCATCAAGGTATACTACTACACCTTGATCCAAGAATTCCCTCAGCGCATCATTCATCATGTTCTGGAAGGTTGCCGGCGCATTTGCCAGCCCAAAAGGCATGACGAGGTACTCAAAATGTCCATACCGCGTATGGAAAGCTGTCTTCCACTCGTCGCCGTCTTTGATCCTGATAAGGTTGTAACCTTCCTTCAGGTCAATCTTCGAGAAGATAACCGCGCCTGCCACTCGATCTCGCAGCTCATCCATAAGCGGTAAAGGATACCTGTTCTTGATGGACACACGGTTAAGTCCACGGTAGTCAACGCAAAGTCGCAGACTACCGTCCTTCTTCTTCACAAATAGGATTGGGGCTCCTGCCGGGGATTTGCTCGGCCTAATCTTTCCCAATCGCAACATTTTGTCCAGGTACTCCCGAAGCACCTTCAGCTCAACTTCGGATAGGGAGTAAACGGGTCCCCATGGTGGCTGCTTCTCTGGTTCGAGATCTATCGCATGGTCGTAGGATCGATGCGGTGGTAATTTATCTGCTTCCGATGGGAGGAAGACTTTAAGGAACCCATGGAGCCAAGAGGGAAGAGTTTCGCGGAGGTTGACCGATTCATCTTCCAAAAGGCAAATACTACCGATGAATTGTGCCTCCGGATCGTCCAATACACCCTCGTCCATTTCTATTTGAGGTTCCTTGTCAGTGAAGCATCGACTCTTGCAGTTTTCGCCATCGTAGGAAACTTCCCCATTTGCCCCTATAACCGGCTTATGTTCTTTCAACCACCAGTTCGGTAATATTGCATCTGTAACGGGGGTCCTTTCTAAGAGGTATAGACTAAAGTAGAATAGAGACGGCCGTGCAAGATAGACAATCAGGTTGCAGATTATTCAAAGATACTATCGCTAGAACTCAATAATCTTTAAGGGCTCTGCTACCGATAAGAACTTGGTTTTTCTTTCTGATGAAGACTGGAGAGAATTCGGACTGAAGGGCGGGAATGAACCTGAGTACTTATACTCCGAAGGCCTCTGTTCTCTGCTCCTAACTCCTTTACTAAGTTCCGGTGGGCCTTCCCTCAGTACCGGAAACAATACCACCGCTACCCCGCTTTTCTCTAGGCGTTAGCAGGTGTTTCCGATACCCAAGGCAACCACCCTTAGTCAAAGCCTTTGTAACACCTGCAGTCTTGGTTGCCACACAACCGAGGACCTGCATGAATGAGCTGCCGCTCAGGTGTAAGCTTAATCATTGCTGTAAAGCTTTCGCTTATTGTAGACTTCCCTAGCATAGTCCCTGCCC